TACTTCTGGAGAAGATGGAGTAACTACAGTCTACTTTGTGTCTCCCACTGTACACAACTGTAACTCCTGGACACAGAATATGTGAAGCAGCCATCTGAGGACTCAAAAGTAAAAGGTAGAAAGAAGATTGAGAAAAATGACAAGAATGAGACGTTCCACCACATCAGGGATAAGTTTACCCTTTTTCCCCCTCCATGGGGGGGGGGGGGGAAGAAGCTCTAAACTCAGAAGTATGTTTCAAATAAGGACAAAAAGAGTTCCAAGAAAAGTCCCCCTTTTTTTGTAGCCCAAGGAGTAGAAAAGGGGACTCCTAAAGTTTGGAGACAGTGGAGGAAATTCCCCAGGTCTTTTTCCTTCTCTCCTCTCCCAGGTGCCAGCCAACACCATGGCATTAGTGGAGGCAGCAGCACAGTGACTCTGAAGGACGGGAACCTTTCTTTCTAAGCAGAGGCACTGTGGTTCCAAGAGTGTGGTACTAATCTCCATTGCTTTTTGTTTCTCTCAGTCCTTCAGCCTGGCTCCAGATGCAGACATAGTCACAGGAAGTGCATGGCAGAAGAAAGAGATTAAAGCCTTAGCTTTCTGGCCAGAGAACCAAAAAGGAAGGCCCTAGCAAGCTGGAAAGTAACGGGGTGACCAGAGAAAGGAGAGCGATAAAGAGAGCATCCCATAACGTTGTATATAAGCTCCTGGCTTATCTCTGAGCTGTGCATGCATAGCTCTGACCCTAAACAGAATTTGTAAAATTAACCACAGGGCAGACCACCACCCAGGTTCCAGACTGGGTACCTGGTAGTGTTACCATAGGCATGAGCAGGGCAGAAAAGGGCTCCCCACCACCTCGCCCCAACCCCACCAGGAATTTCAGACAACCATCAGGTGATGGTCAGACAGCTGTCACACTGCTTCTCTAAAATAGTAACAGGTTGCACAGCCAGCACCAGAAAAAGGCAGTTTCCCAATACATATAAACTGGTGATCAGCAGCTTACCAAAAAGATCTCGGGAGTTGGGCGAGTGGCCTCAAGCATGTGCGCTAAAAGGCAAAATAGCAGAGTTTAACTGGTATATGACCTTGCAGGGCCATTCCACCGGTAAGGGAAGAACGCCTCAAGTGAGCATGCATACAACTCCAGTAAACACACTGCACATTCTC